AGTGGTTGTGTCACTTCATAGTCACACAAGCAGTGTATGAGAGTCCCAATCTCTCCACATCCCCACCAGCATTTGTTATTTTCTGTCTCACTGAACCTTGCCATCAGTGCTGGGGTGAGAAGGTACATCCCACTGTTGTTCTGATTTACATCTCTCTGATGGCCAATGATTGTGAGCTTCTTTTCATGTATTAGCTGGCCACCTGAATATCTTCCTTGGTGAAGTGTCTATTCATGTCTTCTGCCCATTTTTCAAGTGCATTGTTAATTCCTTTGGTGTGAGGTGTGATTGAGTTTTCCATCAATCTTAGACATAAGGCCCTTGCCAGATATGTAATTATCAGCAAATATAAATTTGTTGCTGTCATTTTTGTCATATGCTTTTTCATTGTGTCGATTTCTTTGTTCCATAGAATTTTCTATGCTGAGCTCACTTTGTGTATGAATCATGTTATCACTTCCTTCATTGCTCTTGTTTTACTATTTGCTGAATGTTTATGCTGGTCCTCTTTTTTTATTTTGATGTGAAGGTTTATCATTTTTCTTTTAAGCTACCCTGTGATTTATAGTTTTCTCCCCAAGTTTAGAGCAGTCTGTTCTATCTTGTAGTTGTCTTGACATTCCTACTATCTAAAAGTTCTGTAACGACACAGATTTTTTTCCCTCTTTTTGGTTTGGAGTTGTCCTCATTTGTCAGTTGGTGTGTATGGTTCCCTGTTTACAATCTTGTAGGCTTATTTACTTTGGATACTTCCATAGCTGGGTTGGTTTCTGGGTTATGTCATCATGTGTGTTAATAGTCAGTTGTTGTTGGCTGTCGTTGCTTCTCTGTCCAAAGGGCTCCCTTTAGCATCTCTTGTAAGGTTGGTCTGGTTTCAACAAATTCCCTTAATTTCACCTTATCTGGAAATATTCTAATTTCACCATCATATCTGAGAGACAATTTTGCTGGGTACATAATTCTTGGTTGGAAATTTTTCTCTTTCAGTGTTTTATATACCATCCCACTGTCTTCTCGCTGCATGGTTTCTGTCAAGAATTCCGAGCTTAGTCTTATTGGTTGCCCCTTGTAGGTAACTTTTTGTTTTTCCCATGCTACTCTCATGATTCTTTCTTTGTCTTTGGTTTTGGTGAGTTTGATGATGATATGTCTTGGTGTTTTTCTTTTGGGGACTATCCTGTTTGGGGTTCACTGGACTTACTGGATATATTCTCATCTTTCATTATATCAGGAAAGTTCCCCTCCAACAAATCTTGGACAATTTTCTCGGCGGTTTCATTTTTCTCTTCCTGTTCTGGAATTCCAATGACACATACGTTATTCCTTTTGATGGTGTCCCACATGAACCTTAGGCTTTTTCATTTTGTTTTGATCTTTTTTCTGATTGATCCCTCTCCAAAGAAATATTCAGGTATTTGTCTTCAATCTCATTAATTCTGTCTTCCATTGTATCAATTCTACTCCATTGCCCTTTCAATGTGTTATCTATCTATCTGTAGATTTAGAATCATTTCTAATTTTTCATTTATTTTGTCATATTTGTATTTTCTTCCAAAATTCTTCTAAGGTTTTGTCTGTGTTTTCCTTGGTCTGTCTCTCAATCCTTTGACGATACCTAAATATAATTTTTTTGAATTCCTTATCAGCGAGTTCCAATGCTGCATCTTCCTCAGGGATGTGTTTTGGGTCTGTATCCTGGTCCCTTGTTTCTCCTGCTTTATCTTGCTTCTTTGTGTGGACTATGATGCTCTGTTGTCTCCAAGGCATTGTGATGTTTTTGTGTTTATATTTAATTGGTGATTATATGTTGGAATGACTTGCCCACAACTTGCATTTTCTTTGTTTTGTTTGTATGTTATTTATACAGGCAGGGTACTGTGCTGTGATCCTCTATTCACCAGCTGACAGCACTTATACACTCACCACCTATCTCCTTTCCTTTGTCAGCCTCTTGTATGTCCTTGCTGACCCTGGCAAACAGAGCCTGTTCTTAGGTCCCTGGAATCCGAATTAGAATGCTACCACTTTAAAATCCAAAATGGCTGCCACTTGTAAACATTCAAAATGGCTGTGCCCTCACTTTAAAATTCCAAAGAGGCCACCGCTTGTAAACATTCAAAATGGCTGTGCCCTCGGTCACTTTAAATATCCAAAATGGCTGCCACGTGTAAACAATCAAAATGGCTGCACCCTCTGGACAGCAGAAAGTCCACAGCTCAGGTTGTCTCCCTCCTTGCTCTTTTCCTTCCTACTCATAGGCCACCAGAGCAATTGTCCCTGCAGCCCTTGGTGACCAGGACTGATCTTCAGGTCAATTCTAAGGTCCCAACACTACTTGGAAATATTCAGGCTGTTGGTCTCATCAGAGTAGTTGACAGTCCTTAGCTCCAACCATCTCTGTACTGACTGTTTACATTCAGGTTTTTCCACTAGTTGGTGTCTAACCACTTCTGTATAGTTCATTTCAAAGCTCAGGAGGGTTCCAGGATTATCTTCTGTATCTCTGTCAATTGGTTTTTCTTTTCTTTGTTGAAGAGGGTCTGTGTTGTTTGTCTGCCTATTCCTCCATCTTACCGGAAGTCTGAATCATAAGGATTTTAAACATTTAAACTAAAAACCCAGCATTATATGAGAATTTTATTTTGGGGAAAAAAAAATGCCTTACTTAAAAAAATTCTGATTCGGGTTCATATATATTTGTTGGTCTCAAGTACTGAGATAATTTCCCTTAGGAAGAAAGTGAAATTAAACATAATATAAACAAAATAACCATCAGCTATCATTTATTCAGGGAACTTTGGTGACACAGTGGTTATAGTGCTTGACCACTAACTAAAGTTGGTGGTTCAAACCTACCAGCTGTTCCATGAGAGAAATATGAGGCAGTCTGCTTCCGTAAAGATTTATAGCTTTGGAAACCCTATGGGGCGGTTCTCTGTCCTATAAGGTCACTAAGTCGCAATCAACTTGATGGCATTGGGTTTGCTTTTTTGTTAACCATCTACTGAGTGACTCCTATATACTACACACATTTGAAAATCTTCATTTAATCTCATAACAAACCTATTTTATAGATGGGCAAACACTCTAACTTAGAAAGGTAAGTCACTTGTTCCAGATAGCTAGGGGTGGTGCTAGAACAAATTCAAAGGCACCTGGACTCCTGGGCTTAACAGCTATGCTAAGCTGCCTCCTCCCACATGCACAATTTACCTCACAGAGAAACACAAATCTGTGGGTATGAAAGTCTCAAAATACAGAAGAATTGAGATTGGAAAGTAATGAAATATACTATTCCAGGAATGAAAATACATCCTTACATGAAAACGTGATACAGTTTTTCCTCCTACAGTTAGGGCTGCCATTTTTCCATTATGATTTTCCTTTGGGGTGTATTTCAGGACATGACAGTCTTGTACCTAAAATAAAACAAACAAACAAACCAAAACACATAAAATAAAAACTACGTAAGTGCCAACATACATTATAACACTACACACCAACTACACCGAGACCCTAGGACACTTAGAAAAAGTAATTTATCTCATTATCTTTCTACCACCAACTGAAATAAATAGATAAACCTTTTTTAAAAGAAAATAACCATACCACCAACACCCAGTCAAGTAGAATCCCAGAAACCTCTCTGGGTCTTGTCCCATCCATCTCTCCTCCCCTCCCCTTTTCACCATAGAGCAGCGGTTTCAGAGTATAGTCCTTGACAAGCAACATCAGCATCAATTGGGAATTTGAAAAAATGGAAATTCTGGGCCCCAAGCCAGACCTAATGAATCAGAATCTGTATTTTTCAAGCCCTCTAAGTGATTCTGATGCTCACTAGTTTGAGAAGTACTGCCCTAGATGTAATCACTACTCTTGACACTTATGGTAATCATTTACTGACTCTTCTTTATAATTACTACAATAATGTAGGTTAGTGCTACTTGATTTGAACTCCATGTGCATGAAATCAAACTGTATATACTCTGCCATGTCTTACTTTTTTAATTCAACACTGTAAGGTATATTCATACTGTTGTGTGTAGCTCTAGTCTGTTCATTTCAATTGCTGTACAGCATTCCATTATGTCAATATACTACTATTTATATTCCCATTCTATTGTAGATGGACATTTGGGTTATTTCCAATCTTGATGTGGCAATAAGAGTGATACTATTCTAAATGGTGCTGTACATATATCCTGGTGCACACCTGTCCAAGTTTCTCTAACACTCAGGAGCGGAACTGCTACCTACAAGGTCCACCTATCTTTCTAGCAGATAATGGTAAAAGGTTTCAAAAGCAACTATACCAATTTACAATCCCACCAATCCTTCCTAAAAGCTCCCAAAGTTACTACGAGTTCTAGTAACTAGAGTCTTATAATTGATTATTCAGTGTAAAAAAAAAATTTACTAAGGGCGTGCAGGACCTCTGTATCTATTAGCACTTTAAGCACTTAAGTGTACAAACTCTCATTTTAATCATTGTTCTGGTTACCTAGTGCTGCTCTGATAAGAATATACCACAAATGGGATGCCTTGAACAGTTTATTCTCTCACAGTTTGGAGGCTTTAAGTCCAAGTTCAAAGCACCAGGCCCTAGGAGCTGTGTGAAAGCCCTTCGACCTTGGGCTTCAGCTCTGCCTCTTGCTCTGGGCCCACTGAAGCTAAAGGCATCTCCCCACTCAGGAGCTACTGGGTGCTGAGGCTAACAAGCCCAAAGTTGACAAATAAAATGGCACAGTCCCGTTATTACCAAACCACAAGGCAGGCCATAATTCAAGTCCATTGTTTTAAGTCCCAAGATCGGCAGAACATGGCAGGCTGCTGAGCAATGACACAGCTACATACAGGGTATGTATGCCAAACATGCCATATACTGGAGACCATTCCCTAAGGCTTTTCCTTACATACAGGAAGCAAACCACACATCTCTAGGGCAGCAGCTACTCAGCTGCTCACAGTAGATTCCACCATGGAGGTGATTACCAGTCTCATCATGGGGAACACTATATCCAGCTGCCCAGCCACTCAACCAGGCCCAGCCAAGTTGACAACAAACTTAACTACCACAATCATCATCACCTGTATAAGAATACATGAAGACCAGGTCCCAAGTATCAACCAAGTTGTCCAAAGTAACCTGGAGAGTGATGATCTCTTAAATGTATCAGTGATCTTTGTATAATAATGATAAAGACAACAGTAGCTAATATTTAGTGAAAATTTACCATTGTTTTAAATTAAGTGTCTGGCATTAATCATCTTGTTCAATCCTCATAATAACCTTTTCAGATAGGTCATAATTACTATCATTTATAAATGAAGGACAGTGCTCCAAATGACACAGCTAGTAAGTGGCTGAATCAGGATTTGAACTGAGGTATTCTGACCCCAGAGCCCAATTCCTAACCATTAGAGTATTTAAAAAAAAAAACAAAACAAAAAACCTAACCCATTGCCATCAAGTCAATTCTGACTCAGTGACTCCCGTTGGGTTTCCAAGGAGGTAATCTTTAGGGAAATAGACTGCCTCATATTCCTTCCATGGAGCGGCTAGTGGGTTTGAACGGCCAACCTTCTGGTTAGCAGTCAAACGTCTTAGGCCCTCTACCACCAGAGCTCCTTATAAAAGTATACCTTACCTCAATAAACAAAATGCTGCCTCCCCATATAAGAGTGTTACACTCCAACAACAGAGAGATCAAAATTATCATTTGGACTTGAAAGAACTCCATAAATGAAAATAAGATGGGACAGATTTTTTTTTAATTAAGAATTAAACTGGTAGAACTATGAAAAGCTAGGTTATCTTTTTTACTCATTGTGCCAATAACCTGAATACCAGTATCAAGAAGATCACCATTGAGACAAGTCAGAGCACTCACTAAAACTACCAAGTAAAACTTCAATATTATTTATGCTCAACATTACCGTATCCTTCAGCATATAGTTACATATATTTTAGAATATAGACATTTGTCCATTAAGGTTTATACTGCATAAGATTGTGGCACACATACAGATTCTATGCATCTTCTATTTCTTTCTTACCTGAAGTAATGTGACCACATGCTGTTTACCATCCTTGGTCCATAAAGGCATCATGCCCAGCTTCAGTGCAATAAGGCCAACTCTAAAGGAACCTGACAATTAAAACAAAACACATGCTGAAGAACAACGCTTCTTCAACATTCCCTAACACAACACAAGCCTCTCCTAAAATGTGGTTTTAATACAAGTAGCAAGCCTATAAGAAACATGCTAATATACTCAGAGTAAAACACAACTGTTCCTTCAAGTGCCTTGAATCATACCTGGCATAATATACTGGTGTTTAATAAACATCTGCAAAATTACAAATTATAAGAGAACTATATACAATAAAGAAAACAGACTGTTACATTCCAGTTTTAAAATATTAACAGAGGACTGATAAATATATCACTATCCTTTCCTAGTATCAATTCATATTCAACCCATTAATCAGAAAACATATACCACTCAAATTCTAAGACATTAGCTAGAACCACAGCAACATCACAAATAGCGAAGTTGCTCAAGTATGTCAGCCTCCACCTGACACTAAGATTTATTATATTAATTGGTTAAGTTGCTCCACTAATACCTTCTGGCTGCTATGCAATGCAACTGTAACTACAAACTCAATTCAGACCATACACTGAACCGGAGAGATTGTATTCTTTTTGATTGGTCACACATGGCTTTAGCAACTCACTAGGCACAAAGCTAATTCTGGGATTATGCTTGGCAAGCCTGCAGTGCTAGAACATGGTAACCAAAAGCATCTGTTCAACAAACTATAATCCAGATCATATTTTTTCAAATTTTCTTCCCTGATTTATTTTATTCTCTTTTTTCATCTGAACAATTTAGAGAATATACATAGAATGGTTCTCATTTCACCTAAAAATGGTTTCTCCAGCAGATCTTTAAATTATTATTATATATTCACTATCAGTAGAGTAGGAGGCTAGAATTTACAAATCAAACCACAGTTAAGCCCACCTGGTTCCCAAGGAAGTAGTGGCCACGGTTCATCTTTCAGAGGACACAGTTTACTTGCCAGTTGGGCTTTATTCTCATCAGAGACCAACTGCTTAATAAATGGGACATTTTCCTCAGAAAGATGTTCATCCCACCAAGTGCAACTCTTGCCGTGGAGATTTCTAACAAAAAGCCGTATGTTTGTTCTGTTAAAAAAACAAATACAAGAAAACACAACTCAGATGGTTCACCTATTTAATGTAGGAAAGAGAAGTTACACGAGCTGGAAATAGTAGTCAGGGCCTTAAAGGATTTGGATTCTGTGCAGGTCTTTTTTTCTCCAACATTCCTCATAATAAGGCAGATGCTTACATTTTAACTGGGCATTTGATTGCTAACCAGAAGGCTGGCGGTTCAAACCCACCAGCCACTCCTCAGAAGGAAGGTTGGGCAATCTACTTCCATAGTGATACCACCTCACCTTGGAAACCCAAGGAGGGGTCGCTATGAGTCAGGTCCCATGCCATGGAGTTTGGGTTTTTTTTAATGACCATCCTTGAGGAAGTTTTTCATCTCGTCATCTGGATTAAAAAGATTCATAACAGTACATCCTACCTAGATACATGAGGAACTATTTACTCATAAGAATGTGTGCTTTAACTTTCATTTCCAGTGGAGGTGGCAGTACCTACTCTCTTCAATGACATGGCTTAAGCTCAGAGAGGTGAAGACACTATGCAAAGTTAAACGATTCACAAAAGAAAAACCTCTACCTGTTAGCATCCAATTCTGAACAGGTCAAGAAGCCAAAAAAGCACATCCAACCCACTGCCATCGAGTAGATTTTGACTCACAGCAACCCAATAGGACACAGTAGAACTGCCCCATAGTGTTTCCGACCTGCTGTGAATCTTTAGAGAAACAGACTGCCTCATCTTTCTCTGCCAAGAGGCCAGGGAGTTCCAATCGTTGACCATTTGCTTAGGAGGCCAACCTTTAACCACAGAACCCCCAGAGCTCCACGAGAAAACCCTTAGGGGATGTGCAATTCTTGTACCCAAGGTCACAAAAGAAGTGAAACTTCCTGCAGTCTGTGAGCCCACCTGATCGTCAGCTTGTTGTTATGTGCTGTGGAGTCGGACCGACTCATAGTGACCCCTCGTTAGGTTTCCGAGGTGAGGTGGTATCACTATGGAAGTAGATTGTCTCATCTTCCTTCCAAGGAGTGGCTGGTGGGTTTGAACCACCAGCCTTCTGGTTAGCAGTCAGGTGCCTTAGCCACTATGCTACCACCAGAGCTCCCTGATCGTCAGCTAGATCTAAGTTATTTCCAATTTTCCATTTAATTAGTTAAGCGACTTTACGCAAGTTACTTCCCCTAAGTCTTAGTTTTCTCCTCTACAAAACAAAATTAATGATCGTAGGGAATAATGTGTTGTTGTTGCTGTTACATGCCGTGGAGTCGGACCCGACTCATAGCGACCCCTCCTTGGGTTTCCGAGGCAGTATCACTACGGAAGTAGATTGCCCCATCTTCCTTCCCAGGAGTGGCTGGTGTGTTTGAACCGCCAGCCTTCTGGTTAGCAGTCAAGTGCCTTAGGCACTATGCTACCAGAGATCTGTAAAACGGATCGTGATAGTTCGCTCACGGCAGTCATTGACTCATATACTTGAGGGGGGGAAATCACCCCTTCAATCCCTTACAAGGCACATCCCTAAGATAACGCTCATTATCTGTGCCTTAGATCTGGCCAATGCCCCTTTCTCCTCCACGTCTAGCCAGGCCGCTACCCACAGCCCCGGCGGTGGTGAGGGTCCACACCGCATAACCCGTCTTTCCCCTACACCCACCTGTCCCCCAATCCCCCGGCAGTACCCGGGGCGGCAGCACCGCGGCCCAGCACTTGGACGCCGGCCTGAGCCAGCAGTCTCCAGCTCGGCATGGCGTGGCCGAGGAGGACTCCACCTACGACACCTCCAGGCGGCCGGCGACTATGCTTTGAGGGCGTCTCCACGCCGTGCCACGCGACCTGCAGCAGCCCCGGGACAGTAAGTTGCACGGCTTGACCGCAGATGCCGTCAGTGACGGGAAAAGAGTCGCCGGATCTACTTCCGGTCCAGTCTACAATACGCTCCGGATGCCGGAGAACCAGAACTAAGAGTTCCACCCTGGAATAGCCGAGTAGCCTACTGGGCGTAGAGAGGGTAGAGTCTGACTCCTCCCCCCAGGGGTTGAAATAGAGAAAAGTTTCAGAAACCAGGCGAAAGGGAGACTCCCTTTCGCCTGAGGAAGCGAAAGGAAGGGACTTCTAAATAGTGCCCAATATGGAGCAGGGCATTATATTAGTTAATCTTTACAACAGCCCTCAAAGGGTATTATTTTTATTTTATAAATGAGGGAACACACCTTAAAAGTTCAGAGGCTTGGCCAAGATCACACACGTGGCAGAGGGGTGGAACCTAAATTTGAGCCAGCCTGAATAATAGCAACGGCAGTGAGTGAGTGAAATAAGAGCAGCCACACCACTTTTCTTCACGAGAGAGTTCCTGAGGTTTACAAACTTATTCTTCAAAGGAACACCTGTCTTCCCCTTTGCTTGCCAGCATCCAAGGTGACCTGTGATGATACTTGCCTCCTGCTATTAACTGAAACAAATGGCCTGCGTGATTAATTGACTATGGCAAAAGTGATGATATGTGACTTCCAGGATTAGGTTATCAAAGGTTACAAAGGTTATAAAAGATGTTGCTACTTCTGTCTTGGTCTCTTGGATTGCTCACTATAGGGAAAGCTAGCTGCCATGTCCTGCAGACACTCAAAACAGTCCTGCGGAGAGGCCCAGGTGGAGGGGAACCAACGTGACAGCCACGTGAATGGGGCACTTACAAAAGCGACTGGACTTCAGTTCCAGATGACTGCAACTCGTGAAAGAGGCTGAGCCAGAACCACAAAGCCAAGCAGCTCATGGGTTCCTGACCCAAGTAAACTGCCAGAGACTATAAATAATGTTGTTTTGAGTCAATAAGTTTTAGGATGATTTCTGAGTTTTAGGATGATTTCTGAGAGAGCAATAGATAAGTAATATACCCAGCCTTATCAGTATGTTTATATCTTCAGAATTCATTCTAGCACTCTGATAATCCATTTTCTTGTATGTCAAATTGGTGTTTGTAGACATTTGGAAATGACAACTTGAAAGTTTACCTATTTCAAACTCCTCTTTTTGAACTCTGGCTTCTTGTTGTTAGGCACCATCCATTCAGTTCTAACTCATAGTAACGCTATGCACAATAGAATGAAACACTGTCCTGCCTGCGCCATCCTCACCATCTTGCTATGCTTGCACCTATTGTTACAGCCACTGTATCAATCCATCTCAGTTAAGGGTCTTCATGTTTTTCACTGACCTTCTACTTTACCAAGTATAATGTCCTTCTCCAGGTCCTGGTACCTTCTGATAACAGGACTGAATTACGAGGAAGAAGTCCTGCCATCCTCCCTTCCAAAGAGCATTCGGCTGTACATCTTCCAAGACAAATGTCTTTGTTCTTCTGGGAGTCCATGGTATATTCAGTGTTCTTCACCAACACCATAATTCAAAAGCATCAATTCTTTTTTGGTCTTCCTTATTCATTGTCCAGCTTTCACATGCATACGAAACAGTTGAAAATACCATGGCTTGGGTCAGGTGCACCTTATTCTTCAAACTGACATCTTTGCTCTTTAACACTTTAAAGAGGTCTTTTGCAGCCAATTTGCCCAATACAATACGTTGTTTCATTTCTTGACTGCTACTTTTATGGGCATTAATTGTGGATCCAAATAAAATGAAATCCTTGACAACTTCGATTTTTCCTCTGATTTCATGTTGCTTATTGGTCCAGTTGTGAGGATTTTTTTCTTTATATTGCAGTGTAATCCATACTGCAGACTGTACTTTTCAATCTGCATCAGTAAGTGCTTCAAGTCATCCTCACTTTCAGCAAGCAAGGTTGTGTCATCTGCATATCACAGGTTGTTAATGAGTCTTCCTCCAATCCCGATGCCAAGCTCTTCTTCATATAGTCCAGTTTCTCAGATTATTTGCTCAGCATACAGATTGAATAAGTATAGTGAAAGGATAAAACCCTGACACACACCTTTCCTGATTTGAAACTATGCAGTATCCCCTTGTTCTATTTGAATCACAGTCTCTTGGTCCATGCACAGGTTCCTCATGAGCACAACTAAATGTTCTGGAGTTCCCATTCTTCCCACGTAATTTCTTATGATCCACAAAGTCTAATGCCCTTGCCTAGTCAATGAAACACAGGTAAACATCTTTCTGGTATTCTTTGCTTTCAGCCAAGCTCCATCTGATATTAGCAATTATATCCCCTATTCCATGTCCTATTCTGAATGCAGCTTGAATTACTGGCAATTTACTGCTACAACTGTTTTTGAATTATCTTCAGCAAAATTTTACTTGTGTGTGATATTAATGATATTGTTTGATAATTTCCACATTCTCTTGGATCACCTGTCTTTGGAATGGGTACAAATATGGATCTCTTCCAGTCAGTTGGCCAGGTGGCTGTCTTCCAAATTTCTTAGGGTAAACAAGTAAGTGCCTCTAGTGCTGCGTCCATTTGTTGAAACATCTCAATGGGTTTCAACTCATCAATTCCTGGAGCCTTTTTTTTTTTTTTTGTCAATTCCTTCAGTGCAGCTTGGACTTCTTCCTTCAATACCACTCATTCTTGAAATAGTTGAACATTGATACTTGAACTGTACTTTTTGGTACAGTGACTCTGTATTTTCTTTCCATCTTCTATTGATGTTTCCTTCATCATTCAATATTTTGCCCATCAGATCTTTCAGTATCACAACTAGAAATTTGAATTTTTTGGTCAGTTCTTTCTACTGGAGAAATGCAAACCATATTCTTCCCTTTCAGTATTGTAACTCAAGTTTTTGCACATTTCATTATAATAATTGACTTTGGTTTCTCGAGCCACCCTTTAAAATCGTCTCTTCAGCTATTTTATCTTGTCATTTCCTTCTTTTGCTTTAGCTACTCTCCATTCAAAAGCAAGTTTAAGAGTCTCTTCTGACATTCATTTTGGTCTTTTCTTCCTTTACTGTCTTTTTAATGGTCTTTTTCTTTGTTCATGAATGATGATCTTGATGTCATCCCACACTCATCTGGTTTTCTATCATTAGTGTTCAATGTGTTAAATCTGTTCTTCAGATGGTTTCTAAATTTAGATGGGATATGATCAAGGTCATATTTTGGCTCTCGTGGACTTGTTTTAATTTTCCTCAGCTTCATCTTGAACTTGTATATGAGCAGTTGATGGTCTGTTCCAGTCAGCCTCTGGCCTTGTTTTGACTGAAGATAATGAGCTTCTCCATCACCTATTTCTACAGATGTAGTCAATCTGATTCCTGTGTACACCACCTGGCAAGGTCCACGTGTATAGCTGCCATTTATCTTGTTGAACAAAAGGTGTTTGCAATGAATAAGTCATTGGTCTTGCAAAATTCTGTCATGTGATCTCTGGTGTCATTTCTATATCACAAGGCTACACTTTCCAAATACTGATGAACTTTCTTTGCTTCCCACTTTTGCATTCCAGTCACCAGTAACAATCAATATATATCTTGATTGTATGTTTGGTCAATTTCAGACTGCAGAAGTTTGTAAAAATCAAATTTCCTCATTTTTGGATTCAGTGGTTGGAGTGTAAATTTGAATAATAGTAGTATTAACTGGTCTTCCTTGTAGGCATATGGATATTATCCTATCACTGACAGCATTGTACTTCAAGATAGATCTTGAAATATTCTCTTTGGTGATGAATGCAATGTTATTCCTCTTCAATTTGTCATCACCAGAATAGTTGGTTATATGATTGTCTGATTCAAATTGGCCCATAACAGTCCATTTCAGCTCACTAATGCCTAGGATATAGATCTTTATATGTTCCATTTCATTTTTGATAACTTCCAATTTTTCTAGAATCTTGCTTTGTGCTTTCCAAGTTCTAATTATTAATGGATGTTTACAACTGTTTCTTCCCATTTTGAGTTGTGCCTTATCAGCAAATGAAGGTCCAGAAAGCTGTACTCCACCACATCATTAAGGTTGACTCTGCTTTGAGAAAGCAGTTCTTTCCCAGTCATATTTTGAATACCCTCCAATGTGAGGGGCTCATCTTCTGACACTATATCAGACAATATTACAAGGCTATTCATAATGTTTTCAAGTGATATATCAGAAAGTGTTTCACTGCTATTCATAAGGTTTTCTCTGGCCTTTTTTTTGTGTGTGTGTGTGTGACATGAATAGCCCCATCCTTCTTCCCAGTCTGTCTCAGTCTGGAAGCTCTGCTGAAACCTGTCCACTATGAGTGACCCTACTGATATTTGAAATTCTGGTAGCAT